GTGGAATTGATGTATCAGGTGGGATAAGATTAGAATTAGTGGGTGAATCTGGAGAAGGAATAGAAGGCGGAGGGTCGACGAAGTAGTAGGTGAAGGAATAAAAAGTGGGGGAGGACTTGAATGGATGTTTGAGTAGGAAGAATCATGAAGTGGTAAAATGGGAGTTGAAGGAGCTAAGGTCAAAGTTTGTGAAGCTGGTGAAAAGGGAAAATCATCGTCACAAAATTTAACATCACGACTGATAAATTTTTTTTAGATTGCATGTCATACAACTTGTAACCTTTGTGACCACAAGGATATCCTACGAAAACAAGGAATTGCCCGAGGTTCAAATTTTTGCTTAGGGTTTACTACAGTTGCATAACACATACAACCAAAAACTTTAAGATGGTGAAATGTAGGTGATCATTTGTAGAGTGCTTCAAAGGGTGTCTTTTTAGATAACAATGGTGATGGTGTTCTATTTATAAGATAAACAGTAGTTAAAATGGTGTTCTATGTAGAGTGCTTAAAATATACTCTACCGAACTTTAACTCGGCCTGATATTTATTATGCAGTTGGGGTTATGAGTCGGTACATGCAAAGTCCAAAGAAGTCTCATTTGGATGCAACTCGACGGATCTTGAGATATGTCAAAGGTACAATCAACTATGGTCTTTTGTACAAAAGAAGCAAAGACTACAAGCTAGTTGGATACTGTGATGCTGACTATGCAGGAGACCACGATACTTGGAGGTCAACCACTAGGTATTTGTTCAAGTTTGGTTTTGGAACAATTTCTTGGTGTAGCAAGAGACAACCAACAGTATCATTATCAACTATAGAAGCAAAGTATAGAGCAGCGGCTGGAGCAGCTCAGGAAAGTACATGGTTGAAACTCTTGATGGAAGATTTGCACCAGAAATTTGAGTATCCAATATCACTTCATTGCAACAACCAATCTGCGATTCGCCTAGCAGAAAATTGCTAGAACAAAGCATGTGGAGGTGTAGTACCATTTCATTCGAGAGAAGGTCCTAAAGTAAGAAATCGAGATGTAGCAGATCAAGACAGATGACCAAGTGGCAGACTTGTTTACAAAAGAGTCAAATACAGGCAAACATGAGAGTTTTCTCTGTCAGCTTAACATGGTGCGACGATTGAGGACTAGTGCTGAGGGGGAGTATTAAAATATCATCACTAGCCCAATAGAGTCAAGCTCAATAATTGTACCATTGTATATTTATTTTAGTAGAGATTTTAGGAAATATAATAGATGTTTTAGGAAAGAGGTCTCGATATTTTAGGAAAAAGATTTACATTTGTTAGGTCTAGATTGTGTAGGGTATAGGATAAATACCCATCGACCCTACCTAGTTTTTCATCCCAAGAAATTCCAAGCATTATAAAGTAGTAGTATTCTACAAAGTGTCTTGTATTCTCTTCTCGATTGGTCTTAATAAAGAGTGCAAGTGTTTCCCACAGAGAGTTGGGTTCAACATGCAGTACGCTTCCAATTCATCGTAGAGTGCTTTGAGCTTGGTGAAATATGCTGACAGTGCCATGGTTCCCTATGACATCATTGTTATCGACATTTGTATCTGAAATATTGCTGGAGCATTCTTTTATGAGAATTGATCGTGAAGATCAACCCACACTTGATGAGCTGTCTTGGCGTGAATAATTCTATTAGCGATATCTGCTTCAATTGAATGAATTAACCAAGATATTATCATACTGTTGAACTGATTCTAGAGTTCAAATTCGGTTGAATTTGCATCTTGAGACGGTTCTTCAATAGTGCATCAATGAAACCGATTTTTTTTTGGCAATAAGAGCATGCATAACTAATTTACACCAGGATTGATAATTTGTTCCATTTAATTTGATTAGAACAAGTGAATATAATGACTGATTAGTGTGATGATTATAATAATGATGTACTAAGTCAACATCCGAAATTTCGAAGCTCGATTTGGCTGATTCCGCCATAAAGAAAATTATGATATCTAATAACACCAAGATCGGTTCTTTGATACAATGTTAAGAATGAGAAATAGAATTGGGATCGAAAAAGCAATCTTCATTAATATTCACAACGTTTAAATAGGATAAAGCTACAAACTAATACCTAAAAATAAGGAAAAAATACAAACTAACTAAATCATGAGAATAAAATAAAATATACTATTAATCAAATCATAAAGGAAAAAAATATTAACGAATTACGAATATCTAAGATATATTCCACAACTAATTATTATAATATATTCTCCAAATATTATATCTTAACAAGTTCTTATCATGATATTTCCTAACGATCTTGGTTATCTTTTAAGGGCTTTAGTACTATGGTTTTGGTTCTTGGTTCTTGATCCATGTTCTTGTCCATGATCTTTCTTTCGTCCTTGGTACTTTCTAAGTTCTTATTCGGTTCTTGGTTCTTTCTCCAACACTCTGTCCTGAAGATTTACGGAATTAGACATGAACTTGATATCCTGTGTCCAAGGCTTCATGCGTTCCAAGCGACATAGTCTTAACCCACACCCCCGGGCTTGCCCTTCGACGAGCTCTGAAAACCTATCTCCAAAGCTTCATGCATTTCAAGTAATATAGTCTGAAAACCTACATCCAAGGAAGGCTTCTTACGTAACAAACGATGTATTCTAATTCTGCATCAAGGGCTTGCCCTAGGATACAGTTTGAATACCTATGCCCAAGGCTTCATGCGTTCCAAGCAGCGTAGTCTGAATACCTACGCTCAAAGCTACATGCATTCCAAGAAGCGTAGTTTGAAATCCTACACCCAGCGTATTCTAAGCGGCTTCATGTGTTCCAAGAAGCATAGTCTGAATACCTACGCTCAAGGCTTCATGCGTTCCAAGAAGCGTAGTCTAACCGGAATAGTGGGGGTCACATACCGAGTATTTCTTTTAATACTCAAGTCATGTGCTACTGCTATTTTAGGTAATGGTAAGGCACCTCTGTACCACTAACGACTACATAGCCATTCGAGACCATGAAACGTGGAAAGGGTAGTTGAATTTAGTTTCTTAGAGTTAGATTAGAATAGAGTGTTTTTAATTATAATGTTAATTTATTTCATTTAATATTTTGTTGCGTCGTTTTAAAGATATTTTCGAACACGTAGCTCTATTGTAGTGTTTTAAGATGAAATCTATATTTTATGATGAAGTTAAGTTATGATTATGATAGTGACTCTAGGTAAGCAGAAATCTAGGGTCGTGTATTCTTGTTTGAACGGAAGGATATGCTCCTTGTATTAGAAATTTATGTAAGATCAGTACAAATTAAGTTACAAAGTCATGGAATAAGAGGTAAAAAAATTTAAACTTTCCACTCATTTTTTAAACTAAAAAAAATTAAAAAATAATAACCCAGACTATATGAGGTTGTATAAACCATTAAGCATTAAATAATTCAAGGCTTTTGAACTTAAAGTATTAAACTTCTAATTTAACATTCAAACTATAATTATATTTTTATAAATCGCCATAGAAGTTGAATATCGATAATGACTTTTTCCTGATGTATATTATACTTTAAAAGCTATCAATTATATAAATATATATATATAAATAAAGGTGGTGCCGTTGAAAATTTTGCATCATGCAACAACCTTATTACCTAAACATACATTCATAATGCATAATTAATTAAACACGCAAAAGTGGATTGGTTTTGGCATTTTAAAACAAACAATTAACTAAATTATTACATTAATAATTAAAAATAACTTGAACCGCTCCCGAGGATCACGAATGGGCGAACCAACCCTTAAAAACGTTGAACCGAATCCCAAGGCAGAAAAAAAACACCCGAACCGCCTCTTCCATCTTCTTCTTCGGTTCAGCTTGCTATCTCTTCCATTTTTGATCAATTACAACCTAAAATGGACTCTAATGACTCCATAAAAATTACAAACCTTTCTTCATTCATTAAAGCCCATACACATTAGACTTATTACAATAATTGTATCAAATGGAAGCATAAAAAAATGCCAAAACCGAAACCATTCACTTTAGCAACCACAAAATTTCATTAATGAAATGGTACCCACCATGATCAAATTAATGTAAATAAAGTGCCTAAAACTTGCTTTGATACCAATTGATGGTGTTAATATAACACATGCGGAAGCAATTTGGATCTTAGGCACTTTTAGAACATCAATTATAGTAAATAACTAGCATGTTCATAAGTATTAAAACTTAATGAGTTTGAATACTAACCTTTTGTAGTTCAAATTCCTTTTTCCTCACGAACCGGTTTCGAAACACCACTAGTGTCTTCTCCACTATCCTCCGGCCTTAGAACGGGATTGTGGAATCCGGTGAGTGACTAAATTTGGGAGGGATTTTGTATATATGAAAAGAGTGTTTGTGAGAGGTTTTTCTCAAGGTTTTTCACTCAGGAAGACCTTTCATGTACCATGATCACTCTATTTATAGAGTTATGTTTGCATGTTCATGCAAATTTGAGATCACCAAATTTTGACACTCAAAATTTCACTCAAAGGTTTAGGATTATGTGGCAAGCATGCAAGTTTGAGTTCACCAAATTTTGACTCTCAAAATTCCACTAAAATTTGTGAGGTTTATTTGGCGAGTGTGCAAGTTTGGTTAAACCAAATTTTGACACCTCAAAATTCCACTAACATGGATTTTTCCAGAAAGTCAAGTTGACTTTCTTCATTTTAATTCAACAATTAATGTGAATAATTAATTTCAAATTAAAGTAATATTAAATATTAATGTAACGCCCCCAATTTTCTAAACCTAATTAGTGACGTCACCCATGCATACATAGTTCATTACGCGGAAGCTTATCATAAATGACCTTGGAAACAAAACGAAGTCTTCCATAAAAATTCATAAAATCCAAAACAACCTATCATCAAATAAATAAACCTTTAATAACCGAATTAAAAAATAAATCTAAATAAAGCAATACTCAATGCAATAGCTTAAAACAATCCAATAAAAGTAAACTCCTAGAAATATCTCATCTCCAACTTCCATGCTGTCCTCAGCTCCGCCGTCAACCGTACATTGGTGCCTTGCCTTTACCTGAAAAATGTAGGTAGCACATGGCTTGAGTATTTTATGAAATACTCAGTAAGTCACCCCACTGTTGGGGTTAGGAATGCAAACACATGCAACATATGAGCGAGACCTAACTTTTCATAAACTTTTCATAGCCTTGCGCGCTTTTCTATTCCGGGTTGGGTTGGATGTGTGGTACTCCTTCACACATGGCCCATGTACGTGTACATTGACCCACCAGGCGGGCTCATATACGTACCCCCTAGGCCTAGCTTGGTCGGGCATAACGTATTACACGTCGCCGGACATCACAGTACAGAAAAAGGCCCGCATGATATCATGGCGAACATAAATATCGTATTTCATTCTTTCGTAACATAAAGGGGAAGAATCCCGATGCACGTGACATACATATATGCATGAGGTCCCTTAACGTATCTAACATGGCATGACATAAGCAATACTAACATCGCATATACGTTTCTTACATTACATGGCATCTCACATGACCTACATTACATGGCATACTACATAACGTGAAAGTACATTCTTGTTGCATACCCATCTCATGACATGACTCGATGATTCTACGTGTATCTATAACATCGATCAACATATTCATTGCATATAATACTAATATCTCATTCATAACTTCACATAACATAAACAGTCAGCAGTCAACACAATGCGTACATCACATAAACATACACAATCTACAGTCAACACAATCTATACATCACATAATCATATCACATAAATATGGTGCATGCAGGGGTCACAGGGCACGCACCATCATACAACACGTAGTAAGCTAACTCCAACAGTAAGGTCACTTACCTCGACGGTCTTGGTTGAAGTCACTCACAACGAGCTAATCCCAGTGGTTAAATATGTCCTATGATAACCACATAAAAATTTAGAACCTTTCATAAGGTACCCTAGCTAAACCTCATGCTATTTATCAAAATAAACCCCCGACCTAATCTGTCTTTAATGTTTAGGAGCCATACTGACCTCGGATGGTAAAACTAAGGGCAGAAACGGCTTTGGAAGGCCAAAAACCTTGGAATAGATATATTATAGTGATACCTTGCCGCTAAGCCTAGTTGCCGAGCCGGCCAACTAAGCCGCCAAGTCGAGCTGCGGGAATTGACGGAACCGAGCCGATTTCGTACAAGTGCGAGTCGACTCGCACTGTGTACACGTGTGAAGCTGCCGGAGCTGCTGGGTGTGCGTCAGTGACTCGACCCTATTCCAAAAACCTTGCCTTTCTTACCCGACAAGGACGAAACTCTAGTTTCCACCTCCCCGATTCTGGCGACGCGCTGACAATCCCACAACGTCCTCAACACCGATTTCTGACGGTCAACCTTCTTTGACACAATGTTTCCAACATCAATGCCTTACTTCTACTCGATTCTTCCTCTGAAGAGCAACCCCAACGTTCCGGAGGAAAGTTTGGAGAGATAATCGTTTTCAAGGGAGGTAAAAGGTTGGGTATGGGAATATAAAAATAATATGAAGACATTTGCATTCTAGGGTTTTAGGATAAGGAAACTCATAAAAACAGGAATATGAAAGGTCTTTATGACTTTCCCTTTAAGCGAGTAACTTCCTTGTTAGAAATCACACCCTTTTCCAGCGGAAATAAATGCTAGCATAATATCTTGTCATTTATAGAAATAAAAATAAAATATTAACCAAATAAGGCAAAAAAAAAAAAAATGAAAAATCTAAATCGTTACAATTAATTAAACTATTTAATTAATATTTAATACTAATTCAAATGTCAATCCCAATCTAGGACACTCCACTATAGGCTAGTAGTTGCACTCCCCTCACTATAGATATATTTCTGTCCATTTGATATAACCATGATTAGTAAGTCGATCCTTCACAGGTTGTTCGTAACTAGAGCTGGGTCAATTTACCGTTTTACCCCTGAAGTTACTTCTTGTTTCTTATGTCTCACTGATTCTCTAATGAACAATTGGTTTGTGGTCCAACCAGTAAACCGAATCCCTCTCAGGCCAATGAGAGGGTGGGGCTCCTTGTTCAAGACCTGGAGTCAATGCTTAAGGGAACTACCTCTCTTCTATCCCTAAAAGTGGGTAGGAGCGAATTCCATCTTGCACCCCACGTCCCTAGCTATTCACCCAGTCTTACCCCTGAAATGGGAGGCCTATTGAGTCAGCAAACTCGAGCCACTCTCACCTATGCAAATCTAAGGATAATTCCGAATAAACAGGAGTTCATGGTTAGCTCAGGATTAAGATCGAGTTACCTAGGTCATCGAATGAAAAGAAAATCAGTCTCAACAGTAAACGACATTATAAAGTGAGAGTGGTTTTCTTCATGGTCCGATCTTATGCAATACTCATTGCATAGGACGCCCCCACTCACATGTCTCCACATGTACAATTTAGTGATCACATTATCTATATCATATACAAAAGTGGGTCGCATCCATAGTGTCTCCAGAATAACGTACTCAGCCTTATCCTTATACTATAGATCATTTTGACTATATACTTGAACTTGATCTACTCTTATGTCTCTACATATAGTTCAAGTAATCATACTATAGCAGAGTGTTCTTAATTTATTGGATTTAGATTAATAATCGTAAAGTTCACTTTATTCAATAACAATCTTTACTGAATAAACAACAATAATATAATATGTTTTTGTTTACAAACTATGAGTTTTAGGACATAAAACCCAACAGGCAGGAGGTAGCTTGCGGATGAGATAGATCGAGAGTAGCAACATTGTTGAAAAAATAAAAAGAAAACCCAAAAGTGGAAGGCTAAAGCTCAAAGTATTGGACCCGGCTCGGTTCGGGTTGGCCCGAATCTTTTCTTCTTTGAGCCCAAAAACCAAACCAAACCAATTTGTTTCCAGAAAAAACAACCACCCAACTCAATATTCTATGTAACCCAACTTTGAGTTAGGTTGGTTGGATTTTTCAAGTTTTTCGAGTTTTTAGGTTTTCTATACAACCTTAATCAATATGTTTAAGTCAATCTAGATGTACTAATAAGATGATAATTGATATCTTATCTCAACTTGGAATTTTTTTTTTCTATTCCAAGTAACATAAATGAAAGCAAAGGACACCGTTTTAGGAGCATGGTAAACTGCAAAGAATACAACTGAAATCATCAAGGACTTCATTGATAACAGAAAAGAACAACATTCAATAACAAAAGAGAAAAGTATGTCATGGGTTTGCATATTTTGGCCATGGAGCACTTGTTTTGGAAGTGAAATACAAGAACAATTTGTAGTACAAAAGAGTGTTTCTCCAAAAATGAAAGATTGTAATTTGTAGTATAATTTGTTGATGTTGTCATTAATAAACTTGACTTAGCAAGAAAAGAGTTATTAAAGTAATGTTAGAATTTGTTTAGAAGTTATTGGCTTGAATTGATTTAGGAAAATTGTTAGTCTTAAATGAGTAAGAATTATTAGTAGTTGTGCTTTCTCCCCTCTAAATACTCATGAGATGCATGCTATTTTAAAAAGAACAAGGAGAACTGAAAAACTAAGTGCTTAAGGTTGTTCCTCTATTCAAAAGCTCTCTCAACCCTCAAGTTGTTTGTTTTGCTTCTTTTATTTGTTTCGACATATTTTTATCGTGGGCCATTTCCAATATTTAGTATCATAGCTAGGATGCTCACAAATGCTGTCATCATACAAAGTTGCCGGAAGGGAGGGGAGTGTAACGCTCCAGTACTTGTTACTCACAAAAAGTAACTATGCAGCATGGTCGATAAAGATGCGTGTTAACTTCCAGACCCAGGGCATGTGAGACGCCATCAAGCAAGGTGAGGACGTTGAGAAGCGTAAAGAAAGGATGACTCTTGCTGTCATCTACCAAGCAGTCCTGGAGGACGTCCTTCTCATGTTGGCAGAGAAGGACTCGACAAATGCAGCATGGGAGATGCTACAAATAATGCATGTGGGCGTGGAACGTGTCAAGGAAGCAAAGGTGCAGACCTTGAAGAGTGAGTTCAAGGCTATACGCATGAAGCACGATGAATCAATAGACTGTTGGATTTTATGTCTTAAAACTCATAGTTTGTAAACAAAAAGATATTCTATTTTCAATAAAGTTATTATTAATGTTTATTCAGTAAAGATTGTTATTGAATAAAGTGAATTTTACGATTATTAATCTAAATCCAATAAACTAAGAACACTCTAACTATAATATGATTACTTGAACTATATGTATAGCATAAGAGTGGATCTAGTTCAAGTATATAATCAAAATGATAGAAGTATAGGTAAATCAAAATGATCTAGTACACCGATGAGGCTGAGTCTCTTGTCCTGTGGACACTGTAAAGCCCAAAAATAAATAAAAAATTCAACAAATAAAAATAATTATAAAAAATTAGTTAAAATAATAATAATAAATAAGTAAACAAAAAAACAACATTTCCCCATTTCTCCCCACTAACCTCTGATCCCTCCCCACAATTATCTCTCCTCCATCCATCCTTACGCCTCTAGTAACAATTATTGCAAAAATAAATGGAAAAACAATAATCGAGAAGAAAAAAGATTGTGAAGATAGATCTGATCAATAAGGTATATATTAAATCTTCATTTTCTTTTATCCTATTTTTTTTAGAAATCACAACAAATTATAGTTAGATCTTAATTGAATTATTACAATGGTCTAGCTTTGAGTTAGAAACTAAATTTCAATTATTTATACAATTCTAGTAAATCGTGAGATTAGTTATATTAGATTAAATTTTTATCAGTAGTCAAATGAATAGATTAAACATAGAATGACCAAATTTCAATCATTTATACGATTCTAGTAAATCACGTCAGATTAGTTATATTAGATTAAATTTTTATCAGTAGCCAAATGAATATATTAAAGATAGAATAGCCAAGAAAACTTCTGAACAGGAAACACTGAGATAAGGAAAGATTTGGAAAGTCCATTGGAAATTTGGAATACATGGATTAAAAGGCAACAGATAAAAAAAAATTAGGGAATTAAGAACCACAAACAAAATATGGAGGGAAAGGTAAATACAGAGGGTAAATACATACAGTAGTAAAGCCGAGAATAACTTGAAATAGCTGTATCTACTCTCTTATACAACAGTAACTATGAAAAATAAGATTTTTAATAAAAATATAATTATAGATATATAACATTTCAAGACTTCTAACAATGGACCAATGTAAATTAGAGAAATAATGTTGTAGAGTTCAAACCTGAAACTAATGTCATGGGCTCATATAGGTTGACCCGAATTTCAAAGGACGGAATTGAACTTTCATTAAAGATATATTCGTGACAACGACTTAAGCTAGCCAGGTAAGTGACCTTACTATCGGCATGGTTATATTTGCTGTTGACACGTGCCCCGTGGTTCTGCACGTGTCATATATATTGATATGTGTGAATTGTCTGTGAATCGATATGCTTCTTATTTGTTATGTATATGTTATAATATGTGAATTGTTTGATAATAATTACGGTACGACTCATTCAATGATATGTTTGAGATAGGATACGAGAAGGATGCACAAAAAGAAATGTAAAGATAGGAGTAAAATACGTTCATAAAACGTTAAGGTTAGGTTACATTCCAGAGTGATGTGGATAAGAGAGATTGATGGAAGAATACGGTTAGACTACAGGTAGAAAGGGATAGGGTGATAGATTGATAGAACGATAGCGTTAGGATTGATAGAACGATAGCGTTAGGTTAAGCCCTTGTGATGAGATGACAAAGGTACGTTCACATAATGATAGGTATAAGAACGTTAAGGCTATGATAAGTTAGAGAATTATATGACTATGAAGTGTTTACATTATTACTTGTTTATGATAAGATATGCAACGACCCAAAATTTTCTACTTAATTTAAGGTCGCTACTCTATACGTACCATAAACATTGAATGCGGAAGACTTCATTTCAATTTCATAAAACATAACCTTTAACTTAAAACACAGCCATGGACTTACGTGTTTCGAAAACATCTTTAAAACGACACAACAAAAGACTCGAAATAAAATAAATAAGTGTTTAATTTTAAAACATCCTATTCTATCGTAAGTCTAAGAAAATAAATGTCACTATCCTATGCATGTGCCATGATCTCGAGTTGTGATGCCGTCATCAGCCGTACAGGAATGCCTTACCTTAACCTGAAAAATGTAGTAGCACATGACTTGAGTATTTAAAGAAATACTCAGTAAGTGACCCCACTATTGGGGTTAAATGCAACAATCACATGCAATGAAATGATGGGACCTATCTTTCGTTTCGTTTCGTCTCGTTTCATTTCGTTTCTTTTCGTTTCGTTTCGTTTTCCCTACGGTGTAATCCTAACAGGTAATCGTGGACGTGTACCATATACTCTACACGCAGCCCATAGGTGCGAGTATGGACTCACCAGCTACTTCACACACCGCTGGGCCACTGTCCTTAGTCGGTGGACATGCTCTAGGAGCCCTTATACCGGGACCTATTAAAACTAGAACTGTCACGGCAGCGCTATGCAAAGCATAACGATCGTTGTCTTGCTATTGTATGTACGCGTCCGTACCCTCATGATGGGATCGGGGTATGAGCACACAATATGCATGAGGTCCCACTAGTCCTTCAGTTATCATTAATGAACATAACCCCCTGTCACGTTTTCATGTTTACATGTCATTCCCATTCTCATTTCTATACATATCATACATATTCCTAATGGGGTTATGTTTCATGCAATTTACCGTACTTCATGTCATACAATTCACGTAGTTACATTCAAATATTCATACAAACAAGCCATAATCGTTCAAGGACCACTCATCGTTACATGCATTACACATCACATCAGACTAAAAGCATACATTCACGTTCACATAACTACGTACTTAAGCACAATAATCTAGCATACAATGCATCATATCATAAACAAGTCATAACGTAAACACTTCATAGTCATATCGTTCTCTAACTTACCATAGCCTTAACATTCTTATACCTATCACGGACATATCATTACGTAACGTACCTTAGTCATATCATCACCAGAACATATCCTAATGCCATCGTTCTATCAATCTATCACAAACCTATCCCTTTCTACCCATAACCTAACCGTATTCTTTTATCAATCTCTCCTATTCATAGCACTCTGGTATGTAACCTAACCTTAACGTTTCATGAACGTATCTTACTCCTATCGTTACGTTTTGTTTTGTGCATCCTTCTCGTATCCTATCTGAAACATCTCCTAGAGCACATCGTACCATAATTATTATCATACAATCCACATATTATAACATAACATAACTTATGACATGTGCAGAACCACAGGGCACGTGTCAACATCAAATATAACTATGCTGATAGTAAGGTCACTTACCTAGCTTGCTTAAGTCATTGTCACAAATATATCTTTAATGAAAGTGCGATTCCGTCCTTTGAAATCTGAGTAAACCTATATGAGCTCATGACATCAGTTTCAAGTTTTAACTCTATAAAATTATTTCCCTAAAATTCTGATCTTTTGTGTTAGACAAAATTTAAAGAAGCTCACTGTCCTTTGATAAAAATTGTTATGTTTTCTATTAGACACAATTGAAAGGAGGTCACTGTCGTCTCATATTTCCTTTTATTGTTAAATACTGTTTAACAAATCTTTCCTCAATCTCCCTCCCTCCCTCTCATCTTTTTCATTCTCTAAACAGGTTTTTCAATTGTGTAAACAGATATTATTGGCTAATTTTAATACAGGCTACGATCTTTTAGTTTATAGATTTGTCACCTAAAATTTTATTGAATTTAACTTATAACTTATTTCGTATAATTAAAATGCTAAAAAAAATCTAATAATTGTATATGAGATCTGATTATTACAAATGGTTAAGATAGGAAAGAAGATTTTATTCTAAATTAATTTCTTATAACCATAACTATAAAGGAAAAGGAAATCAGAGATAGGATTTTACCTTAATAACTGGACAAAAATCTCTAAATCTGCAATCTATTGAAAGCCATTCTACTTCTTGTCAGATCTTAACATTGTTGTTTTTATGTTTTTTTTTTTGGCAGGTGGGATGGGTTGAGGAGAGATAGTTGTGGGAAGGGAGGAGGAGGTTAGTGGAGAGAGGTGGGGAATGATTTTTTTTTAATTATAATTTTAATTAATTAATTAATTTATTATTATTATTATTTTAACTATTATTTTTTATAAAGTTTTTTTTTTTGTTTATTTCTTTATTTATTTTTCGGCTATTACATGATACATTGTAATGCAATATGTCATGGTATGATGTGTATATGATGAAATGCTATGTTAAAAGCATAGAACGTTATGTTAGGTCTCTTAAATTGTGTGTATACAGCATGATATGAATGACATGAAATTACGATAAATGACATGAAATATGACCCCGTTAGAATTATGCATGATTTGAGAATTGAAGAATGAGAAATGATATTATATGAATGATGAACGATATCTGAAACAATATGAAAAATGATACGATATGTACTTAATGCTTGCGGGGTTGTATTAAAGGATAATGAAATTGTAGAAGTAGTGGGGACCTCATGCATTATGTGTGTTCATGCATCTGGGGGGATACCCCTATCCCATCACGAGGGTACGGACGCGTACATCCAATGGCAGGACAATGATCGTTATGCTTTGCATAGCGCTGCCGTGACGGCTACTAGTTCTAACGGGTCTCGGCATAAGGGGCTCCCAGAGTATGCCCACCCGATAAGGAAAGTGGCCCAGCGGTGTGCGAAGTAGCCGGTTAGCCCATACTCGCACGTATGGGCTGTGTGTAGAGTATATGGTACACGTCCACGATTACCCGTTAGGACAGCACCGTAGGAAAAACGAAACAAAACGAAAGATAGATCCCATCATTTCATTGCATGTGATTGTTGCATAACCCCGATAGGGGGTCACTTACTGAGTATTCTAGAAATACTCAAGCCTCGTGCTACAACATTTTTCAGGTAAGGAAAAGCATTCCTGTACGGCTGACGACGGCATCGCAACTCGAGACCATTACACATGCATAGGGTAGTGATATTTATTTTCTTAGACTTAGGCTAGACTAGGATGCTTTTAACTTAAACTCTTATTCATTTTGTTTAGTCTTTTGTTGTGTCGTTTTAAAGATGTTTTCGAAACATGCAAGTCCATGACTGTGTTTTAAGATAAAAGTTATGTTTTATGGAATTTAAATGAAGTCTTCCGCATTCAATGTTTATGGTACGTATACAGTAGCGACCTTAAATTAAGTATAAAATCACTCTCACTTTATAATGTCGTTTTCTGTTGAGACTGATTTTTTCATTTGATGACCTAGGTAACTCGATCCTATCTTGAGCTAACCATGAACTCCTGTTTATTTGGAATTATTCTTAGATTTACATGGGTGAGAGTGGCTCGAGTTCGTCGACTCAAGAAGCCTCCCATTTCAGGGGGTAGGACTGGGTGAATAGATGGGGACATAGGGTGCAAGATGGAATTCACTCCTACCCACTTTTAGGGAGAGTAGAGAGGTTGTTCCCTTAAATACTGACTACAAGTCTTGAACAAGGGGTCCCACCCTCTCATTGGCTTGAGAGAGATTCGGTTTACTGGTTCGACCACAAACCAATTGTTCGTTAGAGGATCAGTGGGACATAAGGAACAAAAAGTAACTTCAGGGGTAAAAGGGTGCATTGACCCACCTCGAGTTACGAACAACCTGTGAAGGATCGACTTACTAATCATGGTTATATCAAATGAACAGAAATATATCTAGAGTGAGGGGAGTACAACTACTAGGCTTGTAACGGATCTGAAAAAAAATGATGGTCGTCGGCAAAGCCGAAAACTCCGACGACTCACACACGACCCACAAAGGGCGGCCGAGGGCTGGGATGCCACAAATCGCGTCCCCGACCTTCAGCCACCCTAAAAGAACCTGCAAAGAAACGAAAACAGTGGGGAAAAAGGAGAGAGAATAGAAAATCGACAGAACTCCGGCGAAGCCAAACCGTACGAATCGACGTTGAAAACCCCCATTTCACATCACAAAAGTAATCCCAGAACCCTTTACACACATCAGGAGTAGGTTTTAGACAAATTCCGTACGCTGAACACCGTCGGCAAGGAAGACAGAACGGCAGACTTCCGAGCTTCTCCAGATCCGAGAGTGCGAGGCCCTTACCAAAGAAATCTGTACAAAAAACGGGGTTAGGGTGAAGGATAAGCTCGGGAACGGGGGAAAAAAGGGGAAAAAGGACGTCGGGATGACGTTGTAGAGGAGAGAGAGAGATCACCGAAAAATCGCGAAGGCAGTCGGACGAGGAGAATGAAGTTTGACCTGAGATCCAGATCCGGAAACCCAAACCGAACCCCATCCCTTCGGTCAGCCCAGAACCCACGTTAGTCGCAGCCCAAACATCCGGCCTTCACCCGCGAGCCGGCCCATCACCCCACGGCCCGTCACCCGCGTTCAGCCCGAGACCCGCGAGTGACCCGTTAACCAGCACCTCGACCTGAGACGCCTGCACACGCGTCGTTCTCTGATTGTGCCACGTGTCACGTCTGCAGCGCGGCTCCTCTCAGCTCAGGCAGCTACATCGGCTCGGCGGCGGCTCCCCGGCTCCGGTGGCTTATTCGGCTCGAAAAACCTGTTTCCAGCCCGTTTGACACCGTTTCGACCCTCCCAGACCTGGTTTCGACCCTGTTTAAGGTAAAAGGGAACATTTTAAGGTCGTATTTCACAAATTCCAGTTGGGAATTTATTATTATTTGTGGAATACTAACGGAAGTGACTCATGAACCAATAGGAACCAACCACCAACGGAAGCGTAGAACGTCCACGAGGAGCTAGGAGCTTACGTTATATTCTAGGGAGTACTTCGGCTAAGGCCTACCAAGTAAGTGGCTCACCCATTGTAGGTTACGCATTAAGTGCTGTATGTTGGCAGGTGCCCGTGGTTATGCACGTGCCATTAAATTGTATGCTAGCTTAATGTGCTTAAGTATGAAATCATGTGAATGTGAATGTATGTTATTTATGCTGTTTAGTGGATGTGATATGAATGCATGTAACGATGTGTGACCCGTGTACGATTATGGCTTGTTGTATGAGTATGGGAATGTGATTGAATGAATTGCATGACATGAAATCCGGTAAATTGCATGATACATAACCCCGCTAGGAACATGTATGATATGTAACGAAATGAGAATGAGAATGACATGTAAGCATGAAAACGTGACACGGGGTTATGCTCATTAAATGATGACTGTAGGACTAGCGAGACCTCATGCATATTGTGTGTTCATGCATTTGGGGGGATACCCCTATCCCATCACGAGGGTACGGACCCGTACATCTAAATGGCAGGACAACGATCGTTATGCCCTACATAGCGCTGTCATGACGGTTTTAGTTTTAACGGGTCCCGGTGGGCCCCCAGAGCATGCCCACCGGCTAGGGACAGTGGCCCAGCGATGTGTGAACTAGCTGGTGAGCCCATACTCGCACGTATGGGCTGCGTGTAGAGTATATGGTACACGTCCATGATTACCTGTTAGGATTACACCGTAGGAAAAACGAAACGAAACAAGACGAAACGATAGATCCCATCATTTCATTGCATGTGTTTGTCGCATAACCTCGATAGGGGGTCACTTACTGAGTATTCTAGAAATACTCAAGTCTCGTGCTACTTTACTTTTGCAGATAAGGGCAAGGCACCCATGTGACAACGACGACGACATCAGACACCTCAGGATCATGGCACATGCATAGGGTAGTTGGTTGTCTTTTTTTTTTTTTCCATTTCTAGTATAGGTTAGAATAGGATGAAATGTATTTGCATAATAAACCTTAGGGTAGAATAAACTATTCATTCTTGGTTTTGTTGCTTTTTCTTTCTTTCAATAATGTTTCCCTTTTTCCCTTGTAATCTTTTTTTTAAGGTAATAAAAAGGTGGGTGCGAACATCATTTATGAATAGGGTCCATTAAATGTATATTCCACATTTCAAAGTATAATAATGACCTTAGATTAAATAGGTAAAATATTAGGGTCGTTACAAGGCTATAGTGGAGTGTCCTAGTAGTTACTGAATGTTGGTTAACAAGGTTAATGAGTTTAGCCGGTTAATCTTGGATCGTTGGAGCCCATGATCTATAGGTCTATTAGGTCCCCCTGCAAGCTCATATCGGACTAAATCATAGAACAGTGTGACGAGTGAGTTCAAAGTGTTCGAACTCAAATTAGAGAATGTGCGCTAAATATATACGATATATTTAACCGCATTTTTTTTTGTTTACGAATTAAACAAAAAGAGAGTATCGGAGATATTTAAATAAGATTTAAATATTTTGATCAATATGTGTCGGAATTGATTGGGATTGACATTTGAATTAATGTTAAATATTAATTAAATTGTTTAATTCATCATTTAATATTACTTTAACTTGAAATTAATTATTTAAATTAATTGTTGAATTAAAATTGAGAAAGTCAAAATGTTGACTTCACTTAATGGAAAAATCCCTGTTTGAGTTAGTGGAATTTTGAGGGTCAAAATTTGGTAATCTCACATTTGCATGAACATGCAAATATGACTCTATAGATAGAGTTGTCAAGGTACATGGAAAGTCTTCTTGGAAAACTTCGAGAAAATCCCTCACAAACTCTCTCTTCACATATACTAAATCCCTTCCAAGTTTAGTCACTCACCGGATTCCACAATCTCATTCTAAGGCCGAAAGAATAGTAGGGAAGACCCTAGTGGTGGTTCGAAACCGGCTCGTTAGAATTTGAACTACAAAAGGTTAGTACTCCAACTCCTTGAGTTTTAATGCTTATGAACATGCTCGCTAATTTACTATAATTGATGTACTTAGAGAGCCTAAGATTCAAATTGCTTCCGCATGTGTTATAACAACACCATCAATTGGTATCAGAGCAAGTTTTAGGCACTTTATTTACATTAATTTGAGCATGGTGGGTACCATTTCATGAATGAAAAACTGTGGATGTTAAAGTGGATGTTTATGATTTTGGCATTTTATATGCTTCCATTTGATAGAATTATTGTAATTAGCATAATGTGTATGGGCTTTAATGAGTGAAGAAAGGTCTATAATTTTTATGGAGTCATTAAAGTCCATTTAAGGTTGTAATTGATCGATAATGAAAATGATGGCAAGTTGAACTGAAGAAGAAGACGGAGTTATTTTTGCTTCTCGACCCAACCTGACCCGCGCCAGGCTCGAGGGAGTGGATCACGTTATTTTTTAATTATTAATGTAATAATTTAGTTAATTGCTTGCTTTAAAATGCCAAAACTAGTCCATGTCCACTTTAGTGTGTTAAATTAATTATACATTGTGAATGTATGTTTTAATTAAATAGAAAACGTATATGCATAAAGTATGTCATATAGATTTAAAATCCTACCATAGGCTAAGAATGTTTCATGCGGTACAAGTATGTTATAAGTGTTATAATGTATAGTATGCATGTTTAGGGTTCCATGAGTGATAGATATAAATTGTTATATTATTGCATGGAATCGATTATTATATAATTGTTATATAAACCATGTTAGATGCATGATATAGGTTATTTTCAATGTCATAAAATGAGATATACGTCAAAATCTATAACAAAGATAAGTGTTTCTCACTTAGGGTTAAGAACCAAGCACGATTCATTTTAATAGTTAAGTCGATATCTTGTAAAATTGCGGTTACAAGAAAGCTCACCTGGCATGATCTTGTCGAAGGCTGGAGGTACTTAAGTTGACAGTTTACAGAACACCTGCGACCTAGAGATCGGGCCAGTACTTGAGCTTAGTTAACCCAGTTTTATGAGCATGCGTGAGTGATGCAAGTTTTTTTTTTTGGAAAAATCACCTAGACTTAGGTTACATTTAATTAGCCAGAATATACCTAAGTAATGAGTATACACGACTGTCTAAAATACCTAGTGGGAGGAAAAAGGTATATGAGATACATTATTTTTCGTTTTTACGCTCTCTGAAAAATTTACTCTGTGAGATTCATGCTCGGCCTCGTGTCCTCCAAGGAGCGGCCTCCATTTGGAAGGTATTTGCATGAGTCAATAACAAGGTGAACAGAGAAAGTATTTATAGTAAGTGGAAGTATATCAACACATCCTATGGTCTCCACCACTAGGTTGCCCCGTGAGATTCCCATGTTCCGCCTGCATGTTGTCCTAGAACAACTACCCATTCGGAGGGTCGTAACATGGGAGAAGGAACAACGCAAACTCCAGAAATGGATAGGATTTCTTAGGTCCATTCCCAACTTTGACTTTTTCATTCGATAGTGTTGTTGGGGCCGATCTCTTAGGTCAGAAAATGGCGGGTCACACTTACGAAGAATTACTAAGAGTTATTATATTCTTGACCAAAGTGGCGATAACTAAAATACTATAGGAATAAAGAGTTATTCTAGGATTAATGTTTAAGTCAAGAATGTCTTGGTTTAGTAAATGAGTGATTGATTGCCCCTCAGTAGCAGTTACTCTGACTCACTAAAGTATGATTGCAAATTAATAACTTTTGGGTACATTATTACATTTTCTAAACCTGATTAGATTAAAAAGGATTAAGTCAATTCACTAATAGAATTTTGTTTATATCATTGCATGACAAGCTCAATAATACAATTACTCGCTTCTAAGAAATTAAACGGCGACAATTACGCAACTTGAAAATCAAACCTAAACACAATACTTGTAATTGATGATTTAAGGTTTGTTTTAACTGAGGAATTTTCTCCAAACCCCAACTCAAATGCAAACCAAACAGTTCGGGATGCATCTGACAGATGGACAAGGGAAAATGACAAAGCCCGAGTGTACATTTTAGTCAACATATCTGATGTTTTGGCTAAGAAACAAGATATTATGGGTACTGCTAAAGAAATTATGGAATCTCTGAATGGGATATTTGGACAACCGTCTTTCTCCCTTAGACATGACGCCATAAAATACGTTTACAACTGCCATACAAAAGAAGGGACCTCAGATAGAGAACATGTCCTGGATATGATGGTCCATTTCAATGTGGCAGAAGTAAATGGAGTTGTCATTGATGAGAAGAACCAAGTCAATTTTATCATGGAGTCTCGTCTGAAGAGCTTCCTATAGTTCTGCATGAATGCGATGAAGAATAAGATAGAATATAACTTAACTGCTCTTCTAAATGAGCTCCAGACTTATGAATTCCTCTTAATGAACAAGGGACAACAAGAGAAGCAAATGTTGATGTCTCTAAGAAATTACTACGAGGATCGTCCTCCAAAAATAAGTCTAGTCCTTCAACTTCTAAAAATTTTTCGATAAAGAAGAAGGGTAAGGGGAAAGATAAGATTCCTATTGACCGCAAACGCAAGGTTCAAAATGCAGATAAAGGAAAATGTTTCCATGGCAACGAAAATAGGCATTGGAAAAGAAACTGCCTAAAATACCTTATAGAGAAGAAAGCCGAAAAGGAAAAACAAGGTAATTATGATTTACTAGTTGTAAAAATATGTTTAGTAGAGTATGATAACTCAACTTGTATACTAGATTCAGGGGCTACTAATCATATTTGTTCTTTTTTTTCAGGAAACATGCTCCTGTAGAATGCTTACGGAAGGCAAGATAACACTCAGGGTTGGAACAGGAGAGGTTGTCTCAGCAAGATCAATAGGAAATTTAAAGTTTTTTTTTGGAGATAGATTCATTATATTAGATAATGTACTTTTTGTTCCTAGAATGAAAAGAAATCTAATATCTATCTCTTATTTATTAGAACAATTGTATAAAGTATCTTTTGAAATGAATGAAGTGTTCATTTGCAAAAGAGGTATTCATATTTGTTCTGCAAAACTAGAGAACAACTTATATATGTTAAAACTGAGTGAAACAAAAGCTATTTTAAATACCGAGATGTTTAAAACAGCTGAAACTCAAAATAAACGACAAAAGATTTCTCCTAATACCTATCTTTGTCACTTAAGACTAGGCCACATTAATCTAAATAGGATTGAGAGATTGGTTAAGGACTTCTAAATGAGTTAGAAGACAACTTTTTACTTCCATGTGAGTCTTGTCTTAAGGGTAAAATGACTAAACGACCTTTTTTCGAAAAAGGTTATAAAGACAAAGAAACATTAGAACTCGTGCACACAGATCTTTGTGGTCCAATGAATGTCAAAGCACGAGGATGGTATGAATATTTCATTAGTTTTATTGATTATTATTCAAGGTATGACTATCTTTACCTAATGCATCATAAGTTCGAAGCTCTTGAAAGTTCAGAGAGTATAAAATTGAGGATGAGAATCTATTAGGAAAAACTATTAAAACACTTCAATCAGATCAAGGTGGAGAGTATATGGACTTAAGATTCCAGGACTATATGATAGAACATGGAATAACATCTCAGCTCTCAGCCCCTGGTATACCTCAACAGAACGGTGTATCAGGAAGGAGAAATAGAACTCCATTAGACATGGTTCGTCTTATGATGAGTTTCGCTCAATTACCTGTCTTTTCCTTCAACCACCTAGTTTTAAAGCTTACTAAAATTAACGAAAATTAAAACTACCATTTTCATTTAAGTTTATTCCCAACAGAAATTAGAACGTCGTTCAAAATTATGCCTACTCGTAGGATACCCCAAAGAAACGAAAGGTGGTTTGTTTTATGACCCTCAAGAAAACAGAGTGTTTGTATCAACAAACGCTACATTCTTAAAGGAAAACCACGTAAGAAATCATCAACCTCACAGCAAACTAGTATTAAGTGAGATTTCTGAAGAAGCTACTGATAAAGCAACAAGAGTTGTTGATCAGGCTGGTCCTTCAACACGAGTTGTTGATGGAGCTAGCACTTCTGGTGAATCACATCTTTCTTAAGAGTTGAGAATGCCTCGACGTAGTGGGAGGGTTATAACTCAACCCGATCGTTACTTGGGTTTGGCAGAAACACAAGTCATCACACCTGATGATGGCGTTGAGGATCCATTGACCTATAAACAGGCAATAAATGATGAAGATAGAGATCAGTAGATCAAAGCCATGAATCTTGAAATGGAGTCAATGTACTCCAATTAAGTCTGGGAACTTGTAGATCAACCAGATGAGGTAAAACCGATTGGTTGCAAATGGATCAACAAGAGGAAACGAGAGCAAACCGGTAAGGTACAGACCTTTA